GGCTTCTCATTGTCGGAGTTTAGACAGTGAACAGAAAGCTAGAGTGATTTCTGTGGCTACAGAGTTGAACACACGCATAAGAACTCGTGTTTGGTTTAATATAGATACAGGTGTTTCCATTCAGATTTATTGACTTATTTATACATTTTATTGTGTTTCAAACAACCTTATTGATATATAACTAACAGACTAATGTGTGTACGTATTAATGTATGCAAGTTGATGAGTTTGGATGCATGCAAACACTTGTGACATCATTGCTACAATCCAGGTAACAGACATGTCCCACACTTCTCAAAGCTTTCTTCTGTCTCTTTGGTTTTGTTTTTATGTTTTTCTTGTCATTGTAAGAACACTTAGCATGAGCCTTACTCTCTTAGGTGTTGCCGCACTGAACAGCATTAACAATAAGCACTGTGTTTCACAGCAGATCTCTAAAAGTTATCTGTTGCAACTAAAGCTCAATAGCCACTGAACAACTTCCTGTTTTTCTCACCCCTTGGGCCCTGAAAACCACTATTGTACTCTGTGCCTTTACAAGTTTGATGAAATAGATAATACCTGGAACCATAAAACTTTTGGAAGAAAAACTAAAGGAAAAATCATTTGACATTGATCTTGGCAACGATTTGTTGGATATGAGACCAAAAACATGTGAAACAAAAGCAAAAATAGATAAGTGGAACTACATAAAACTGAAAAATTTCTGTGTAGCAAAGGAAAACATCAGCAGAAAGAGAAGCTGTGAAATGAGCGAATTGCTTTCTCTCTAAATTTTCCTTTTTTGATTTTTAAACAGCCTTATTGAGGTACAATGTACATACTATACAATTCACTATTAAAAGTGTACAATTAATGAATTTTAGTACTCTAATCACATTTATGCAACTATTACCACTACCCAATTTGAGAGTATTTTTATGACCTCCAATAGAAACTCCAGATAAATTAACATTTTCCCCATTCCTCCTACAACTCCAACAGCCCTAGGCAATTATAAGTCTATTGTTTGCCTCCATAGATTTGCCCATTCCAGGTATTTCATACAAATGGGACCACACAAGAGTTGGACTTTTATAATGGACTTCTTTTACAGTACTTGCAAGATTTGTCCATGTGTTAGAGTTATCAGTATTTACCCTTTTTGCATTCCATTGTATGGATCTACCACTTTTACTAATCCATCATCAGACATTCGGATTGTTTCCAGTTTTTGACTTTAATGAATAATATTGCCATGAAATCTGCGTATATGTTTTTGTGTGGACACGTTTGCACTTCCCATCGGTATGTACTTTGTAATAGACTCCTTGCATAGCTTGTTATCTGACTTTTTGATTATAACCATCCTCATGTGTGTGAAGCAACATCCTGAGTTTTTTATTTTTCATTGCCATAATGATTAACCATGCCAAGCATCTTTTCATATTCTTATTGTTCATTTGAATATATTATTTAGGGAAATTATTCATATCCTTTACTTTTTTCTGCTACCAGGCTTTGAACCCAGTGACTACTGACAGTATGCCAATTTTTAAATTTTGAGACAGGATCTGTGTCTTCCCCAGATGTCTTCAAACTTGCAAGCCTCCTAATTCAACTCCCAAGTACCTGCAAGTATAGGGCTGTACCACCATGCCCAGCATTTTACCCAGTATGTAACTGGGATATTTATTATTTTCTCATTGATTTGTAAGAGTTTCTAATGCATAGTCATCACTCTATATTGGGGAGATAGGTTCAATGACTTTTAAGGATGCCAAAATTTGCAAATTCTGCAATTCCCTATATACAATGACAAAATACTGCTTACACACGTCCTCTCACATACTTCAATTTCCAGATAATTTACAATACCTGATTCAATGTAAATATTATGTAAACCACTCTTATACTGTATTGCTTAAGAAATAATGGCAAGAAATAAAATCTGTGTGTGAACACTTTTTCTGGAATATTTTCCATTTGTAGTTAGTTGGATTCAAGGATGCAGAGGGTCTGTTGTAGTTGTAAGCCCCTCATCAGATATTTTCTTTGGAAATGTCTTCTCTCATTTTATAGGCTCTCCATTCATTTTCTTCATGCACCACTTTGTAGGACAATTTTACAATCTTATTGAGTCTAATTTATTACTTTTTTAAGTTGCATTGAGGCCATACTCTTAAGTTGCTTGTACTTTTGGTATCACGTCTAAGAGGCTTTTCTGATCACAAAATAACAAGAATGTATTCCTGTTTTATAAGCATGTTGGAAGGTTTATTTCTCAAATTTGGCTCATTGTTCTATGTAGAGTTAATTTTTGTACACGAAACAAGAAAGGGGTCCAATCTCATTATTTTGCAACAAGGATAACAGTAACAGCAGCAAAAATAACTTGAGGATTTGATATAGATTGTGCTAAATCTGTAGATCAAACTGGGGAATACTGCCATCTTACTATTAAATATTCCAATCCATGAACATGGGGTGATTTTTTCATTTATTTAGTTCTTAAATTTAGCCAGAAGCTGTGAAACTGTTGGTCTGTTAGACTCCTTTTACATATGCTTCCCTGGCATGTCGCAGTTGGACCCAGAGAACCTAGAACCAGTGTTGTGGAAAAGCAACCCCCTGCCTTCCAGCTTCTCGTCCAGCTCTGCTCAATTTTTCTGTAAATGTAGAAAAGTCTATTTTTCAAAAAACTATCCCGCAATTGAAATTTGGACAAATTGTCTCTTTATAACTGGAGATGCACACTTTTCAAAATAATTCCCCAAGTACATGGTCTTTGCAACAATAAACCCAAAGTAGTTTTCTTAACTCCCTATGTAAATGGATGCTGGGATCAGAAAAAATTACCTGTAGCATTATATTTAAAAATCATGTTACCTGTGGCTAGCTGATGTATGTAGTCCAACACTCCTTCCCCTACTCTGGAAGCAACAACCCCCTCCTTCTAGAAGCCACACTTATTCACATCACCTCCAGAACCATGTAATTCCATTAAGACTTTCAGCGTTATTCCATTTTCTTATTCCAGACCTCTGCCTGGTTTTGGGTCCACTAAATCTGGTTTAGGGTCCATTGAATCTATACAAGTCTCCCACAGTTCTCCACTTCAAAGCTACTGTCAGGAAGGATGGCACGCTGCAGAATCAAACTGTTCAGTGTTACTCTTAAGCTGTTTGAACCTGTTGGATAAGAGAGCAGTCATTCCATGTGGATGGAAGGAGCTTTATGATTTAAAATCCAGGAATGGAAAGTGGCTGTTTCACACTGTGTTGAGAAAGTTGGGTTGCAGCGAATGAAATAAAACTTTTGTAAAGGAAGGGACAGAAAGAAGTAATAGACACCTTGGCCCTAGGGTTTCTGAGATCCAACATAAACCTGTTCTAATTCTAGATAGTTTCACATTTTCTAGAATGAATGGTTAATAACCTTTCAAACTAAATTTGCCCAAACTGGCATTGAATCTTACAACCAGACCAAAGAAAAGACTGAATGACTAAGTTAGGCAATGTTTAGGATGCCACTTTCTAAGAAAGAAATTTGATGGATTCAGAGTCCCAGTTCTCAAGTTCTTTAGTGAGCACCCTAACCTGCTTCCTAACCCAGGTGATCTAAAAAAATATGCTATATATTCTCCTCAAACTATAAAGGGATTGTGCATATCACAGACTCAAGTGGAAATAGAAGTCTACCAAAAATGATTTCAAAATTAGGATAAAGACTAGAAGTTTGGTGGAAAGATTATTTAAAATCATTTGTGTATATGTATATGCCTGCATATATATATATATATGCAACATAAATATTCATGAATTCACATAGTATATGGTTTGCTTTACAAAGTTTCTATCACTGCTACTGACTAAAAACAAACATGTTAACAGTTCCAATATGTCACAAGGAATATATTAGACATTGCACAAGTACTGTTAATGATGTTTAAAGTAAAATGTGGCTTTTTTGGTGATTATTTAGTTTAAAGGCTACCTACGTCAATGGTGTAGCTTGCGTCTGTATAATGGTCCATGTTGCATCTGTGACTACAGACAGACAGAACCAAAGACTTCTCCGAGCTGTGCCTGATGCAGTATCTCTCCTGCATCTGCAGTGTTGACTGCTGAGATCTTCCTTCTTTGCTAACTCAGCTTGCAGCAGTGGCTGGGCAGAAGCATGTGTTTCTTCCCCTCCTTCTTCCCCTGCTGCATGAACATCGTACACTTCCTTTTATCTTTGGAACCAAAGGAGAAATCCTTTTTTTAAAAGAGTTGTTTGTGTTTTTCCATTATTATTATTATTAACTTTGCTATGAATTTTTAAATCATTTTGAAACAAGAAAATTCTCCCTCTCCTACTGGTCTGCTTCCCTTAGAGTGTGTGTTGGCTTCTCGCTTAAACTCCTTTTCTTGTGGAACTCTTGAAACAAGTAACTCCAGAAGTTAGAGGAGGATGTAGTGGGAAAAGGACTGGCAGCCATATTAGACATTTCTCTTATCTTCAGATCTGCATGCTATCCCACTGAAAACCTGTTTAGGAAATTAGTTATAAAACATACACATCTGAAAAGAAACAAGGTTGGAGTTTCTCAAAATGTTATTTCTTGTTAAAAATGGGATGAGAGTAGAGCAACAGAGAAATCAGAAAGAGAAAGTTGTATTAAGAATGTACAAAAATTAAAATGTAACTAACTGAAAATGAAGAATAGCTGAGACTGATGTGGAAAGTACAATTGTACATGAAATGAACCTTAAAACATACTTTAGTCATGTTGCCCTTTTAATTTGATTTTTGAAATATGATCTGTATACTTGAATATTGTTAAGTGTATGAACTGAGAATTTGTCTGTAAGTTTGAATGCTCTGTAAATATATTTTAAATATGACTCATGGAACTGTGAAGAGAGATCTATGGGAGCACATAACGAATGTCATAGAAATTTGCATTTGGAAGTGCCCATAAGAATCTAGTGATAAGTGCCCACTAACACTTACATTACACATGTTCTGTATTTCAGAGGTGATTTATAAAATGAAGAAAGGACACATTTTTCTGGCTTCTGTATGTCTGCTGCTTACTCTGATCCCTGCTGCTGTAACTTCTGACTCTGAGGAAGATGAAGATTACATAGATCCGACAGGTAAAGTGTTTGTGTGTTTGTTTTTTGTGTGACAGGCTCTCACCATGAAGTTCAGGCTGGCCTTGAACTCACTTTGTACCCCAGGCTGGCCTGGAACTCTCAGTGATCCTCCTGCCTTAGTTTCCCATGCACTGGAATTATAGGCATGCCTGGCTTCTATGTCTATTTTTACACTCAGTTCCAAATCAGGTTACTTTAGTGAGAAGGCTTTCTTGGCACTGTTAAACACTGGAGTAGTTCTGAACGCTAGCAAGAAGCAACATGCTGAAGAGACCAGTCCCTGTCTCCAGCCATGAGAAGGGAAAGGGACTGGAGACAGCCAAGCTGGCAGCCATTCTCTCCTTCTTGCCCATATTCCTCAGTGAGGATTTCTCAGATGAGTCTATTCTATCAAGTCAAGCAGGATAACAGAGGAGTGAGTAATCAATTCCAGCCCATAAAACTCTGAGTCTAAAAGTGAAAACACTTACAGTGAAAATAGGACAAGGAGAAGACTTACATTGTTATTTTGGCAAAAAGAATAAACTTTTGTTAAAGTAAAATTGTGTAGCGAGTTAGTAGATCGCTGATAGAAATGTCAAAATGTTAGTAATTGTGAGAGAGCACTAATGTTGTGATAGCTTCTGGTATTTATATAAAACAGTGTGCAATTGGTTTCCACAAGTACACTTTTATTTCACGTGTCTAGAAGCTCTTTAAAGTGATTGTGTTCAGGGTTTTTCCCTTTCATAAAGATTAAATAAATGCTTGTGTTGTGCCTGCAACTGCATGTTTGGTGCCAGGGAACAGTGGTAGCCTAGGCGAGACTGGGTTTCTAAGAATCTCACAGTTTCGTGGAGAAAGCTGAAGGGTAGACAGACTATTTCAGCATAATGCAGGAAAGGAAGACACATGATGGTGCATGCCTGAATCCTAGTTACTCTAGAGGCTGAAGCAGGAGGGCTGCAGAAACCAGGCCAGCCTGAGCAACTTAGTGAGATTTTGTCTCAAAATCAAAAGAGTGGGATAGGATGGGATAGGATGGGATGGGATGGGATGGAATGGACATGTGGTTTCCATGCAAGTTCACACTTGACTTACGTGTGTGAGGTCTTGAGTTCAATCCCCAGTTCCAGGGAAGAAAGGGGGCGTGGAGGAGGATGTCCCATCTGGATAAAAGCAGACATTCTCTTCTCAGGATGAGTGAGCAGAATGAGCCAAGTGCTCCCAGTGTTCTGCCAGTTGTGTCTCCCTCCACTGACTGGGAAAGTCCCTGCCCTTAATCCAGAGGCTTCTGAACTATTGCTGCTGCACTATCAGCAGCCGGGAACCAGGACAAACTCAACAGTGATTAAGCCAAAGCTTACAGTCACTATAAGGCTGCTTGAGACTGAGATGGATGAGAACTTTGATCTTAATGTAGACTTGAAGGCCTCTTAGCTAACCAGCTACACAGCCATACCTAGTTTTTCTTTTGCCACTGCTTTTTCTATGATTAATCTTTCACTGTCATAATCCCACATCTGAATCAACTTGTCACACGATCCAAGATCAAGCCATCATTTCATAGAAATACATCAGTGCACTGAAATATGGCACTATCTTTTATAGAAAAATTACAGAATTTTACAGCTTCTCTTGTGTCATTGGTAGACATCTTTAAAAACAAAAACAAAAAACCAAAAACTAGTCCAACTAGCAAGGAGGATGATACAGAATAAAACGCATGATAATAAAAACAGAAAGCCCCATTTTTCAAAGCCTCCTCTGGAGTAGGACAGATGAGATTAGCAGGAAGCATTTAGGTAAAGGTAGATACCTTTTTTGGAGGTTTAGAACCAGACCTGTAGTTACATAAAAGCACCTGGCACATTTTTCCAGCACAATGCACAAAGTACACATCTGTATTCTTTTGTTCCAAAGTAAGCAAATCCTTAGTCTGGTAGCTTGTGGACTCATCCTTCCTAGGTTCCTTGAGGGTCATGAGTTCACAAACGAGTTCGATGCCATCAAGGCCTGACAGGTCCTTACACCCCATAGACTGACTGAGCCTTGTACCCAGCATCCTCCGGTCAGCACCTGGTTACTAGCATTGAGAACGTGAGCTCACCCGCCGCCAGTGGAGAGGCTGTCGCCCTGTGTCAGGCAGTGCACCTGGACACGCCCCTCCCCAGGCTTCCGTGCTCAGGTGTGAGGCGCAGGCTCACTGCGTACCTGAATGCTCCAACACAGGTTTCCGAGAGAAATGCACTAAGCTGTGGAGGGCAAAGAAGAATCCGCTAATCATTAATAAAATATAGTTAAATTTGATAACAACTGCTGGAAACTTATCTTTCATCATGAAGTTACTTTTAGTTTTATACATTTTAGGAAAAATGTCACTGAGTATAAATTTTAGAAGTAAATATATACGCTTAATCCAAACGTCACTTTGGGAATCTGGGCCATGCAGCCTGTGACAGGACACTCAGTTATTAAGAACGTGTGTGAGGAATTTGCTTACAACCATTACAGAGCTTTGTGTCCGATTGCAAGCCTACCATGGCCGAGCAATTTACTTAATTTCTGCAGTGTCACTTTATAATTTGTACAATGGAGATAATGTCTGTCTCAAAACATTGTGATCACTAAATGATATAATGGCAAAAGTTCTGGAGCCCAGTCATTACTTAGTAAAATTAACTGTCATTATTATTGTAAATACACAGCTTTGCTTTTCAACCTTTTGCTTTTGTGGTACACTCCCACCACCTTGTGGCAACATTGTTAAAAAGCATGCTGAACTTGGAGCAGCTCGTGAATAGAAAAAAATGTAAGATTTAGCCTAATGATAAAGACTAACAAATATATTGAATAAAACAATAGGGGAATCATCAGTGAGAGAGAATCTTACGATAATTATTGATTTATAAGATGAAGTTTTCCTGAATATATTTGGCAGCTCAGGTATTAGGTAGTTTCCTGTGTTCTACAAGTCTAAAGAGCTATACTAAAGCTGTCTGCTGGAACACTGGTTTGGTTACTTGTTTTTAAAGTCTAAAGTAACATTACCAGGGAAATGAAGAGCATCATAATATATGAGAAGAGCTGTATAAATTTCTTAGCTAAAGCTGTACAGCTTAATATTCAAAGTGCCAGAATATTTTTATTTCTGATTCATTTCGTGAAATTATTTAAGTAAATTCTGAGGTCTAGGATCAGATATTTATCAAATCTATAGGTCAAATTTTTATCACTTCCCCCCAAGAATGTCCAGAGCATAGACACTTACAGTGGTGAATCTACAGTAGCAACTGCCAGTCTTCTCCATATCAGATGTAGCACCTAAGATCTCTATGCAAAGCACTAGGTTCTCATAACTGAACCACTCAAAATATCACTCAGAACATTCTGAAATTCTTAAGGCCAAGAATGTGAACAATATTTGTAATTATTTATATAAGTGTGCCATTTCAGAAAAAGTTTTCAATGACTTTGAATTCAAATTGACAATTATAATGTCAATGATGAAGGGAAAAATCACGTTACTTTTATTTACATACAGATCCTTATCTGTGGAAAGTACTTTCAGCAGCCTACTAAGACATAATGATATTAATGTTAGGTATATATTAAAATCACATCAGTACATAATTTGAGAAAAGTATAAAAAATCAAGTCTAAAACCATTTTTTAAAACTATATCCTGAATTATATTTGTATCCATATTTGTGGGTTACAAAAAATCCTGATGTGTTTGAGAGAGCTATTAAAGCTGTGCTTCAGACAAGCTCATAGCACAAAATGTTAGAGAAATAAGTGACATTTAAATGTGTTCATATTAATAACTATTAACTCTGTGTAAAAATTATTTACATGTATTATGTACATTAATTCAATAATCTAATTCAATAATTACATCTATCGAATGCTTGCGAGCTATGCCACAGGTAAAGAATTATCGCGGCACTCTTTAGTTATTATTTTGGCTACATCGATCACATTTTTTCTTTCTTTTTTATTTTTAGTTCTTTTTTAACTGACAGAGAAGATTCTGTGTGCTTACCACATGTGATAGGTTTTTAAATATATATGTAATGTGGAGTGACTAAATCTAGTTCATTAACACATGTATTATATCACACAGTTATCACTTTTTCTTTTTGGTACCGGAGATCGAACTCAGAACCTTGCGCTTTCCAGGCAGATGCCAGAACCACTGAGCTAAATCCCCGGCCCTATCACTTTTTTATGAGAACACTTTATATCCAGTCTTAGCATTTTTCATGGATAAGATATATTATTAGCTGTAGTCACCAAGTTGTACACAGAGCTCCTTCATCAATTCCTAATATCCAAATGAAATTTTATATGGTTTAACCACAATCTCCTTCCACCCTCCCCATCAACAAGTATAATTTTCAATCCATCTTAGTGGTACTTTCTGTAAATAAATGCAACATTTTAAAAATTAGGCCTTTATTACTATCACTAGACTTACTAAAATTGACATTAAAAGTATGATTACAGTTCCTCAATGTGCATATCCCTTCCCATGTAAGGACATAATTCTGCAAATAAAAAAGGTCACTGAATATTTAGATTAAAAATGTATAACATAAAGTGAAAAGACTTGTCTCATTCTATTGAAAACAGCATTAAGGTTTTTTGGTACTATTAAACAAATTATAAGTAAAAGAATACAACATATTCATTCTGTAACATAAACACTTAAAATTATGTTCTTTTTTAAAAATTCTTTATTGGTACATTTTAGGTATACAACACATTTACATTTCTCTTTGGGAACTTGTACCTTTTCGTGATGCATCTTGGTTCTTTTTTTTTTCTCCATTCCTAGCCCTCCCTTCACTGCCTCCACCCTTCCCTATATACAAAGACTTTATTTCCATTTTTTCCATTTCTCAGCATTTTTCCTTTCCCTTCTTTCCTTTCCCCTGCCCCTCCC